TGTAATCGTGGGTTAGATTTTAATCTTGGGTTAGGGTGATTTAATCGAGGGTTAGCGCTAATCGGCTTTCGAACAACCGGGGCCTGGTGGTTATGATTATGTCTTCCTTGTTGTTAAGTCCTAACTAAAAATGATTATGAATTATAGCTCTTCTCGTGTGGCTGGTTTAAGATTCCCAAGGTCTTATGTTCCTAATTTGTTATTTTAATTAATGATTAATTATAGATTGAAGTTAAATTCATAAACCACCATTTATAAAGACATTAATTTGGTAATATACATACATACATACATACATACATCCATCCATCCATCCATCCATCCATCCATACATACATACATACATAGGTTAATTGACCACTCACCATGGGACTTTTCAGGGCCATTCTTACAACACTGTGGGGGGGACTTTACCAGACTACCTGTAGCGGTTTACAATGAATAAAGGCAAATCTAGCAGATGCCCCCAATTTCCAGTAAACGGGTCAGACCACATCACAGTAATCTCGTGAGTGGGTTCTTTAACGTCCCTTGCCTAGCCAAATTAGCTAATTAATAGATGTAGGAGACGGGACTTATGGTTTATTTGTCTTTATCCAAGAGGACCAGAATGTCTATCCATTTCTTGATATTATAGAAAGGCAGCACATTCTCCTCAGTTATTTAAAGACCTTGAGTGTTGGTCCGGCCTGGGCTCAAGCCCTCAACCTTCTGCTCAACAGTTTGGCGCTCTAACCAACTGAGCTAACCAGGAGGCGGTGTGACCATGGGATGGAAGTAATGTACTTGTATCTTGAGCATGTAATGGGTCTGGTAAAGCAACAATTGTCCTTTGGCGTACTATTTAAGGGCCCTAGTCAGCCACGCTCATGTTTATGTTTACACATGGGAATTCTGACGTTGCATGTCCAAAAATTTACCTGCAAACCTCTTATGTAGTAGTTCAACTAACTCTCAATAATAAATTTTCACTTGACAGAAGGCTAGTTGCGCCAATGCAGTGCAATCTGAAAACGACAGTAAAAATGTCAGAATATCAATGGCATCGAAAATGGCTGATTTCACTGCTTCCTCGCACAATGCATTAAGGGTGACTAGGCCTCTTTAATTACCTATTATTGATTAATGCCTGTATTACACTCATTTTGTTTGTAGCTGATGCTCGTTCCCAGGTTCAGAGGGCTAGATATGAAGCAGCCAACTGGAAATATAAATATGGGTATGAAATTCCTGTAGATATGCTGTGCAATAGAATTGCTGACATTTCACAAGTTTACACTCAAAATGCTGAGATGAGACCACTTGGATGCAGTAAGTGAACTAGTTAATTAAACTTGGGTTCTCTGTCAGAGTGAAGTTTATTATTCAAGTAACAAAGTTTTTTATTACTCTTGATTTGCTATTAAATCAAATTCAGTTCAAAATGGAAGTGGAAGAAAGCCACTTGTGATTCAGAAAACTCTTCATAAGCTTCTAGTCCTGGGTGAAGTAGAATCCTGGTGGGGGGGGAGGGGAAAGTAAACAAAGCATCGATATATATCAGAGTGCAGATTTAAAATAATGAGAGATTTGTGGCCAAAGGGTTAGCATCCTGGGTGTGGGACCCAGTTCATTGTGTTCTTGGACAAGGCACTTGAGTCTCACAGTGCCCCTCTCCACCAAGGATATGGCAAATTGTCAAGGAAGCCTGATGAAGTTTGTGGTGTGGGAGTGGAAGATAACCTGTAAAGGACTTGCATCCCACATAGGGGAAGTAGCATGGGCAGAAATTGGAACAAGCTCTGGTAGTGTGGGTCACCTGGCTCAAGGGCTGACTTAACCAGAAAATAGATTAATCACTGTGTTGTGTTTGCAGGTATGATTCTGGTTGGCATTGATGATGAAAAAGGTCCACAGTTATACAAAACAGACCCTGCTGGATATTACTGTGGCTTCAAAGGCTGTAGTGTTGGTGTTAAGCAAACAGAGGCAAATAGCTTTCTTGAAAAGAAGATAAAGAAAAAACATGCATGGACACAAAGTGAAACTATTGAGGTAAGTATCCTGTGGTGCATGCAAAAAGTTTCCTCGTTTGACCTAGAAATGTGCAGAATTATTTTCCAGGGAAGGATAATCTTTTAAGATGTATATGTTGTAGTTCAATTTTATACTTGGTTCAAATTTTATTTTCCTTTGTTCTCGGTCATGTTAATATATGATATTGAGTTTGAAACAAAGGAAAATAGAATTTGAACCAAGGATAAAATTGAACTACAACATATACACAAGCACATTTTTGCACCAAGCAAAAGCCATTGTGCTTATTTTCCTTCAAGTATTTTCTTTTTCTGAGCATTCCATGGAAGGACTTGATAAGAAAAGTAGTTTGTGTCTTCTGTATCAAGAGAAAAACACTCATTGAATCTTAAACACAGAATTTATTGCAAGTTAGGTTTGAGCCTTAGGGAATATCACAAGATATCCCTGGTAGACCTGTGGCATAGGTCCTTAAAAACAATTACATTTATCTTATTTACATACCCACAGACAGCCATCAGCTGCCTGTCATCTGTGTTATCTGCTGACTTTAAGCCATCTGAGTTAGAAGTTGGTATTGTGACAACTGATAATCCACGGTTCAAGTAAGTCTCTATGAATCAGCCCATTGTACCTTCCCTGCACTGAGTGAGTTCAATTGATCAGCCAGGCAAGCTGGTTGCTTTGTGTGAAAAATTTTGAACGTGTTTCTGGCTTATCCATCTTCATCTATGAATGCCAGAAAAAAATGGCAAACTATGTAGCTACAATATTGTAGCAAGTCTTCAAAAACTGAAAGCAAAGTAATGACTTCAACCCCCCCCGCCCCCAGTACAAAGAGAAATTTTACCAGGAGCTCAGAACTACTCAAAGTAGCAAGAAGCAATCAGTTTTACTTGAGCATGTGGTTGGTTAGAAAACTTAATGCAAGTTTTCCAATAAAAAGTATTAAGTATAGTGAAGGAATACAAAAGTAACCTCAGATCGCTTTTAATACTTTTTTCAGAATAGCTTTCTTGATTATTGAATGAAATCCAAATTTTTAAGCTTGGTTTGGCTCACTTCAATCTCTTTTTGGTCTGGAAAATCTTACGCCACCCTCTCAACAAAGCTTACAAAGCTGAACCAAAAAGCAACCTGGTAATTGTTGTTATCCTGCACTTGAGGCTACCTACTTGTGTATACTTTCAGTTTTCTTTGGTTCCCTTTGACGTGTTCTTTTGTTCTGATTGGCTGCTATGATTACTTTAGTTCTGGCTTCAAAACTCAATCATAAGGAGCCCCAAGACAATCGAAGATCTCTATGTGTTTCTTAACAAGTTTAAAATAATTTTATCATCAAGTTCAGCCCTTTAACTACCAAAAGTGTTTAAAACAATTTCTCCTTATAATATCCATTCATTGTACAGCAAACAGCTAACGAGACTACTCAAACTTATGAAGAAGTTGTTATCCTGATCTAACACAAATTCTCATGACTAATTTACAAGGAAATTAGTAGCAGCTAGAGGGGAGAATTAACAATCAGATTTTGGGAGTTAAAGGGATAAATTATTGATAGTTCCATTGTTGACCTTACAGGATCCTAACAGAAGCTGAAATTGATGTACATTTGGTCGCCATTGCAGAGCGAGATTAGTTACTTACCAGGAACATTGCACAACGCAGGAACTGACTGTCTAGAAGCCCAGAAATGCTGGTTGTAGACCATTGACTGTTATACCATGCTGCTTTCACTCTCTTGCAAAATAAAACTTGATTGAATTCTTAATTTAGAGTTTGTCTTTTTGTCATTTGAGTGATGGCTATCACATCTTTCTTTTGTATCTGAAGTAAGAGTATCATAATTGTTCTAATTGTCTCATCATGGTTAAGGTAAACTCTGTTTACGAGCCTAGTGGCCCATCAGGCTGGTGCTTCACTCCGGTTTCTGTAGCATGAAACGACCAGGAGTATTTCTACTCCCCCCTGGTTATCTTATCATGGTTAGTATTTCTACTCCCCCCTGGTTATCTTATCATGGTTAGTAGACATAAATGATGTTGATGATATACCCATGAGAACTCACTCCTGGTGTTCATCTGCAAAGCAGGGGTGACAGTCTTTTGTTTCCATTTAGACAGTTTGACTGGTTTTAAACCAAGCTCTACAACTTGCATACTTGTCTCTTTTTAAATATACTTTGCCAAAAAAATTGTAACTGTACTTGAACTCATGATATGATATGTTCTTCATATTGGGTAGCAATTGTATAATACTAGAATTTTCCATTTTTGAGAAGTCTGTCCATCAAATCATCTGGAAACACTTTGTTTAGATTGTCCTTGTTGGCTTTGAATTAGCCTTGAAACAGTAGTGTAGAATGTGACAATTTGAAACAAGCATTAGTCACGACAAAGTGGTCTTGCCATTTAGGGTGGCATGAAGTTCTGTTATAATGACCCAACACCAACTCTTTGATGGTTCAATACTGCTACACCTTTGAATTTTTTCTTCTTGAATATGATGTAATATCACTTTGTTGGGCATTGTGGTCCATTTTGTGGGCCAAAATGTATTTAAGCCTGAGTCCATGTGATTGTTCAGACTGTGTTTTTTTTTTGTTTTGTTTTTTTTCAGTTTTCATCTATTCCATGCAGTTTATGTTCTTAGGCTTAAATGTGTTTTGGACCCTTGTTAGAGTCATTTTAACCCTTGCATGGTGGCCTGGGAAAAAAATTACTCTGGGTCAAGCCCATAACATACTTATGCCCACAAATATAAACTGGAGTGTTTATTACTTCTAAACAACTTGGGGTCATTTTTAGCTGCATTTTAAGTTACCATAGGAATGTTAAAGAGAATTGTAGTGCATATGGTTCTCAAGTTTATAGGTGTATTATTTAAGGGGATTTACTGAGGAAACAGTTTTGAATATATACACAATGATATATACATATTATACCAGTATTGGGTGGCGGAAAAGTGCAGTTGCTAAAAAATTACCTCAGGCTGCTTGCTTCCTGAGGGGTGAAAGGGGATTTACATTTGTTTCTTTAACCATGACTGTTCATAAAGTGATGCGGTAGGTGGTTATTGTATGAGTGCGGTTTAAAAGAAAGGGTCAAGTCCGTTTATTAGAGGCTGTTTTCTTTTCTCTATGTGTCCTTTGTGGGATTTTTATTGGGATGTTGTGGTTTTCCGAAGGGGGTCAGTACATGACTGTTACACGACAAGTTCAGATTTTTACCAATGAGTGAGCTTGGGAACGAATCACAAAGCATGAAGCATTCGAGGGGTGGCCTGGTCCTTAGTGCTGACAAAGTCTGTTGCAACCAGCATTTTCCTAGCAATTTGTATGTTTGAACTTAAAAAGCGATTTTGATGCGGTAGATGTGGCTACAACGACATTGTTTTGATGGGTGCATTTCTAGACAAACCAAAGACTGAAAAACTGACAAAGTCTGCGTCGGGAAATGGACTTCGCTATGGGTTGGCGTCCATGCAAGGTTGGCGTATTGAAATGGAAGATGCTCATACGGATATCACTGGCTTGAACCCGGAGCTTCAAGAATGGTCATTTTTTGGCATTTTTGACGGCCATGCAGGTTCAAATGCGAGTCTTTATTGTGCAGAGAATCTCCTAGGGTGTGTTTTATCAAGCGATGATTTTAAATCGGCGCTAAAAAACGGGCCAGCTTCGCCTGACTTGGAGCAGCTTAAAAGCGGGATTAAGATGGGATTTTTTGAGCTGGATAAAACGATGCGAGAACGCCCAACCTGGATAAACGGGGACGACAAAAGTGGTACGACAGCCGTAACTGTCATGCTTACTCCTAAGCAGTTTATCTTTGCAAACTGTGGAGACTCTAGGGCTATTTTATGTAGCAACGAGAAAGTAACTTTCCATACGGTCGATCACAAGCCATCCAACCCAGACGAAAAAAATCGCATCGAGAAGGCTGGGGGTAGTGTTATGATCCAAAGGGTTAACGGCTCTTTGGCAGTTTCTAGGGCTTTAGGAGATTTCGAGTACAAGATGGATAATAATTTAGAAGCGGATAAACAACTAGTTTCGCCAGAGCCGGAGATTTCGGTGGTTTCAAGACAAGATGATGTAGATGAGTTTATCGTGGTCGGCTGCGATGGTATCTGGGATGTGATGACTAACGAAGAAGTAGGAGATTACGTTCGCTCAAGAATGCTGCTTTCTGAAGATTTAGAATTAATTTGCAGCGAGCTTCTCGACACCTGTTTAGCAAAGGTGAGAATGCCCTTTTTTTGTTGGTTTTGATCATTTTTGTTGTCGGATTCACGTGGTTGTGTATGTACTATTAGAGAGTAACGGCAAATACGCGTTTGAGTTTAACAGTTAGCCTTAACTTTATTAGGAAAGTTCTTCGTCACATTAACTTGCAGATAGTTTGTTAATCTAAGTGATCTGAAAGGTTCCATAAGTATGTGAGGTTTCTCAGCTGTTTTGAGCTATTTGAACGGTAATATTTTGAAAGCCAGCTGCAAAGTACAGATCGCATTGTTAAAAATCCTACTATGTATTTTTTTATGTGGATTTTACAGGAGATTTTACGAAGGCATAATTACCTGATATTTTCATAGAGATTACAAAAATTGAGTAAAGATATCAGTGAATTATTTGAAGCATAACCTTGCGAGATATGCGTCGTTTACAAACTTGCGAAAACATTGCTGGAAACTCCAAGGCTTCAGATAAGTAATGAGTGACTCTGAACTTTCATACCAGTGCTTGAGATACGTCTTTTTGTAAATAGCTGTCGTGATATGTACTGTTAAGATATGCCATGTGTTCCATTGGTGTTTTGTTTTTCTTTTTTTGGTTTATTGGTGATCCAAAGCCTCGCTAAACATACTTGGCACCTTTAGAATCACTAACTTTACATGTTTTTCTCAATTTACCAGTGTACGAGGTTCCTTGGCATAGATAATTTTCACTTTCACTTTAATTTCACAGGGAAGTCGTGATAACATGAGTGTGATTTTAGTCGCTTTCCCTGGAGCACCCAAAGTTTCTCAAGATGCCATTAAAAAGGTACTTAATGTTAGTACAGGTTATTTGTATTGTTGACTTTGTGAACCTGACAACATTTAAATTGCCCCACTTTTGAATCAGAGAATTGACAAGGAATTATGTTCTGGCACCCATTTGCTTGAAAGGTGATGATCTTACTGTCATGTTTGAAAATCTAAATTACAAGAAGGGTAGTTTGGGTCATAGCTCTAAACTCACCATTCTGTTAAGTTTCCTGATATTTTTGAGATTTGAATTAAAAAAGTCAAAATTCTCTATCTTAAATGCAACGTCACAGCATTAAAGATTTCCTTGGGACTTTTTCTTGTTTGTTTTGTTTTTTTTTTTTTTATATTTAGGAAGAAGACCTTGAGGCTGACATAGAGAAAAGAATAGAAGGTATGTCCATTTTAACAGTAGATAGTATGTACATGTTTCATTAACAATTATCCACTGAATGGTGATTTAGCTGTTGGATAGCATTATGCAACCTTTGATCAACTGGCCCTAGATTTACTGTGTTTGATCGGCAAGATTTATATTACAGATTTAAAATATTGCCATGTCATACTTTCACCAACTAGAGAGCCACCTTAAATTTTTCAAGTTGATCCAGCAAACCAACCATTGTTAAAATGAAGGATGAGAGTGCACAACTTGTTCATGTATTTGTTTGAAAAAACAAAAATTGACAGTAAATTGTTTTTCAGTAGTAAGCTTAGAGTATTTTTTATTCTTCCACTTTAGTGATACTCCAAGAGAACCCTGGTGGGGTTGATTTGTACTACGCAATGCATTTATTATCCAGTGAGGACATTCCATCCCAACCCCCAGGCGGAGGACTCCAGGCTAAGTAAGTGTTACCATGGCAATGTGCTCTCAGCACAATGGACAGTGAGTAACAATTTTTAAAAGTTACAATCCCTGCATTTGTCCTGGATTTATTACCAGTCAGGGCTGGGTTTTTTTCAAAATATGATCAACCTAACAAAGGATAAAGGTAAATTTTAACTTTAGTTTTATAGCTTTGCAAACAGATTTTTCTTTTGTATTTTTCCCTATTAGTTCCAAGTGATATCAATATAAAACCTAACAAAGCCTCTGTCCTTATTCATGTTTTTAGGCCTATTATGAAGTTTTTGTTTTGACTTCCATTTTTACAGGCAGAATTTTATACAGAAGACATTGGAAAGACTGACAGCCAAACAGGAAAATGAGGTGACATCACATAATATCCATTCTCACTTTTCTTTATTTATGGCTTAAGCCAGGTTCAAATGTCTAACTTTTCATGTGCTGAACCTAATACCCTCTTTAACACATTAATAGCCACAGCTTTTATGAAAAACTGTGTTTTGAAGCTAGTCGAGCAGATTTCGGGTCACTGTTGTGGTTTTGAGATAGAATAAATATATGAAGTTCATATATTTATTCTATCTCATTTATCACTTTCACGGGTTTATTACGAATCAACTTAATGGCCTGCTCCCAGTTGGCTTGTTAGCTCAATTGGTAGAGCGCTGCACTAGTATCACAGAGGTCAGTGGTTCGAGTCCCTACAGGCCTGATTTTTTTCAGGTCTGATTTTCGCTATTGCATAAATAGCGCTATCTACTGTGAGGATCGTGCATCATACGTGTTGTGGTTTTAAAAGCTCAAACTCACCGCAAACCCATTCACAGCTTGTACACTTGACGGCCTTTTGATCCAAATGCAAAACAGCGGCCTGAAAGTCTCAGACAGGCACAGAAAGCAAAATTTCGAGATTGTTTTGGGTTGAAAAGTAATGCCCCACTTACGACTTTTACTTTTCTCTCTTTCTCCTGCCCTTTTATTTCCCTTTCTTTGCCTGAATTTTCTCCCCACTTGCTGGAAATTTAGTAGCCTTCATTTTGGTGTAGAGATTTTTTAGGAAACTACTCATTATTTTCAAACCACATGCTCAGAAAGGTAGGTGGGTAATGGAACAAGATTTTCGTGCAGATTTTCAGGTCAAAGTTACATGGTTTTTTGGCTATTACTCCAGTGTCCTTCACTCAATTGCACTCATTCTGGTATCGTTTGTAAGATATTTTCAACCTCTTTAAGTATGTGCTTAAAGTCTTGCTCCAGGGTTAAAAGTGATGATGTCACAAGGCGTAGAAAGGGTGTGGTTCCACATGGGTGCTTACGGGCACACTGTACATCAATAGGTTAAAGTTGATTCAATGTGCTGTGAAGAAGAAAACCAAACTGTTGGATATAAATATATAGATTGGCTGAGAAACATGTGCAAATGTTTCTTGTCATATACAAAAATTAAACACCACTGGTTTCAACAAAAACTTCTTGATTCCTAACTTCTTGTTACCTGAGCACGGAAGCTTGCAACTGTCTTAGTTGAATATATTCCTGGTCTAGTTTTTAACTTTTAACTGGTAAAAACCCGTACTCTCTTACTAAATAATGTTGCAACTTTATCCAGTCAATTTTATCTAGTCTACCGTTTTATACATGAGCCTCTGGCTCGGGCAATTGGGCAACCATGCCTCACGTTAGACAATAAACTTTGATTGATTGATTGATTGATTGATCCAAAAAGTTTACAATTTGAGAGGCAGGACACACTGATTTGGATTTATGTATCAATAATTAGGTTCAACCAAAATAGAGTTGTAACATGGTAATATGAACTGGGCCTTACTCAACTTTCTCTGTACTGTTAAAATGTTCCTGGCAGGTGCACTCACTTTGTTTTCAGGCCAGACAAATTAAAAAAAAATTCTTTAACAATCAAAAGCTCCTTTAGGTGGTGATCATTTCCTCTATTCTCTTGACCTTAATGTTTGATTCAGGGGTGATATTGTAAGGAGAAATTAGATGCTGGTCACTCTTTGGGGCTAAACAGTTAAAGCTGTTCTTATAGTGATGGTTAAGGTATTTTAAAAACTTACAATGTGTTTTTATAGGCAGAGTGACGGATCTTGAAAGCCTTGCTGAAGACTGTGTTCATGAAGTGTTTACCTTAATTTGTAATATGTTTGGTTACAAATTGTTAAATAGACCTTGGTGTAGTTTTAGAGACATTCAACATCGTGCGTTTATATAACTTTTCGAAAATATAGATTTCATCAGTGTACCGAGTTAAAGCAACCAGTGAGTGATACCATAGTACATGTTCTTGCATGGAAGCACATATTCTCCTTACAAAACAAAAGATGTGTTATTGTATTGCTCTGGTTGTTTCTTTCCCTAATTTTATTCTTGTCATGTCAACAGTTGGAAAGAATTAAAAAGGTACTTGATTTATAGTTGGGTAATGCGTGTTGGCTAAAATTGTATTTCTGTTTTACACAAAAGCTTGTATTTTCTTGTTAAACCCTTGTACACCCCAGATCTGATGGGCAGATCTGCCATAAAAGTGCTACCCATTTCTTTGGTAAAAGGGAAATTCAGTGTTATTTGTGTATATTACTGTGGCCTGTGGTTATTGAATTGATGATGTATTTGTATTGTAACTTGAAAGAAGAGGTTGCATTTTATTGTTTTTTGAGTAAAAATGGGTCAGTTATTTGTGTTTTTCAAGGTTTCTTTAGTTTTCATGAAAAACTTGAACCAGAAATACAGTATTACTGTCTTGCCAGACCTATCATTGTTACCCATACACTTAATGTGTGATCCAAAGTAAACTAATTGTAAAGGACATCAGCTCAAAAAGTCAACCAAAAGAGAGATGTGAACAGTATAAGTGAAATAGAGGGTTAAGTGACAGTTGAGAGTGCAAGTATTTCAAAGTGTAGTTGTGTCGTACTTCAAAGTGTAGTTGTGTATAATTAATGACAGTCTTCCATAGTGTACCTCACCCTTCAATTAAGTGGCCTTTTTATAACTTATTTCTTATGTAAGGCTCATTTAGGGTAAGATTCCAGTGCATTCCAAATCCCATCACTAAGTTTAGCTAGTCTTTATGTTGGGTTTGGTGGCTGGTTCCATAACAAAAATCACATATTTATGATTGATCTCTAGTGTGCAGTGCACTAGACTCATGTAGCATACACTTAACTGTGCTACGATTGAATCTTTTGTATAAAGTATGTTCTTGATAGTACCATTGATTACCTGTGTAATCTGTGATTGTCACAGTGTTTGTTGTTCCGAGAGGGGTCACTGTTTTTATTACCATGACTGAGATTTTTATTACCTGAGGGGAAAGATTTTAGGGAAAGTCTTTATTGGAAGCCCTTTAATGTGAAGATGACTTTGACACATGTATCAAAATCTCAGCCACAATAAGACACTGTTCATTGTCAGGACTACCCTTGCCAAGATGATCACTGTTTTCTTCTAGGTTCTAACTATTTACTGTAACATGTTTTCTGGCAAATGTGTGTTCCATTTGTGAAGGCCTTAAAAGCAACTTTGTATCACTCTCCTTGAAGAATTGCACCTCACCTTCCTTTTAGGTAGTGTAAAATCCCTACCCCTCCTCCCTCCCAATGTAATGGGGTAAGAGATAGAGAAAAAGGGAGGCCTTGGGCCTAAGGTTGATTCTTTCATTCACTCATGACATCAATGAAGCGCAATGTTTAGATTAAATGATTCTGAATTTGTTAGTTCTTATACATTGAAGGATTAAAAATGTAAATGTTACCTGGTTGAAGTCTCATTTGTTATTTTGTATTTAGTTGCATAAAGAACCTAATCAGTCTGAAAAAAGTTTTTGCACATATCGAGTTCTTCTTTGCATGTTTTATCCATGATATGATTTACAGAGAAACTTATCTTCTAGGCTTAAACCAATGAGAATCATTCTCTTATGTACCCCATACTATGACAACACTCGCCATGAACATGAGATCAGATTAATTTGATTATGACACAGTAACATAATTCATAACCCCATCTTCGAAAAGTAACTTAAGCGAAACTCTTTACAGTAGATGTGTCTGCTTTCTTCAAGTTCATGAACAATCCTGTGTTGATGTCTGTCTTAAAGCTGTACACGTTTGTTCCTTTGACATTACAGCAGCCATTTTGTTGTTCTAAATAAACTGTTCTAATAAACTATTTGAGTGAAAACGCACTGTAGGTTTTGTTTTTGGGCCTCTTTGAAGCTATTATTACACGTCACACGAGGGGGCATTGAGATTTTCAGTTTTGGGGTTTTGGCTATTTTTTAGATCAGTTTTTCGGTTTTTGTCCCAAAAAACTTTTAGTTTTTCTGTTTTGATGTTCCTTGCAGTTTGCGGGTTTTCCATTTTTCAGCATTTGGTTTTTGGTTTTCGGTTTTCGCCACAAATACAAACGGGTTTTCGGATTTGGCATCCGATGTTTTTGTTTTTCCTATTTGGGTTCAGGCTTCTCTTCTGTACTCCACTTATCACAACTGTACGGTTTAACATGTGGGTTTCAGTTTTGATCGAATTTTTTAAGCGGTTTTAGAGGATTTTTTTTCTTCAGTTTTGCGGTTTCTAATAGACCCCAGTGCCTCCGTCTCACAGGTAAGTGCAGAAAAACATCGTGATGTACATCAGCCCCTTAAACGAGTTTGACGCTAACCTACTGAACCTGCAATGACAACGAATGTGTCTAACGCAAGGCGACCTGGATGCGAACGATTATTTTCCACTATTTGTGATAGGTATTATTTTGTTCCTACTTTTATCAAGAGATTTCTCTAAGGTTATTTGACTCCTATTATTCAGCATGTGTCCGCTACATCAACAGGTCCGCATAGAAGCCACGAATTTTCCAGAAGAACTGATCACCCAGTACCTTCGGTTGGAGAAATAATTTTGGTCCTGTTTTTTAAAGTACGTTTTCCGTCCATCTCTTCCGTAGCACATGTAAAACTGCTCCATGAACTGCTCAGGCCCCACAGGCGAATGGAGGGCCTCTGTGAAGACATCAACTCCGTGATAATGCGCCTGGGACACATAATGTTCACGATATGGGGCGAAAAGGGGAGCGTCCCAGGTCAGAGTCACGCTACATAACACCAACACGGCCAATAAGCACGGCAAATAGCCCCAGCCCCAAGCCTCCACCAACATCCGTCCAGCTGCAAACTGAAGATACATTGTATCGTTAACGGACTCTTTTCAACAAACTTTTATCTTGCGCTAAAAAAATTCTACAACACAGCGAGTTTTTCACCTCTCCGATACAGATATTATTTGCTTCACCCGATAGGGCTATACTTTGTTCAATTCTTCAGGCATGACGGTACATCATGCAGTGACCGTCTTGAGAGACGGTAAAATTCCTAACAGTAAATTTTCCAACTTTGCAGAGTGAAAAGAATCGGAAAAAATGTACTCCAATATTGTGATAGCAACGTTTCAAGACATATTTATACGGAATAAATCACTGTAATATCGATCTGGATCATACCGGTGAGCGTTTCAAGTGGTATTCGATCATGATGACATCTCTGGCTATACAATAAACTTTTTTTCTTATTCTTTTTTTTTTGTTGTTGACGAGGTTTTTTTAAACGAGCTTCTTCACGAGTTTTCAATAATTCAGGTCTTCAGATTATGCTGTGGTTTGCCGCTTTATTTGATCAACTGCATCCATCTCATTAGGTATTTATGAGTTTGTAGTTTCTTGCAACTCAACTGAAATCCACAATCCACACAAATATTATTTCCGTTGGCCGACAAAATTGTAACGATAACCTCAACGTTTATAAGGTTTATTTCAGTTAAATTCAATCTGCAATCCATACAGGGAGCTGTAAGGAAGTCACTGATGTAAATTTAACTCTTGAACTCACTTAGAGCTGTTTTACAAACGAAACTACAAAACCGTGTTAATTCGTAATGGCGAATAAACAGAACTAATTTATCAACCGGCATCCAAGCATCTTATCAAAGATTCTCTGGCAAGGAAGAATATCTTATTAGTCCTCAACCATTGAAAATTCTCGCTCCGAGTGAAACCAAGAGCTTTAATGGAAATAAACTGTTACCAATAATGAAAATCAGCTTCCCACGAAGTTACCTCTCAAACGCTAACTTATTCTATGCGGATGCTCTCTTAGGGGATAGATGAGAATAAATCTACTTATTAGTACTCTACCTGACCGAATTCCAAGGTCTTTTAAATACCAATTCAAACTCGTACAGTGTGATGTTTTTATCATTTAAATTAGTTGTCTTTTCGAGCACCTGGTGTTGTCAAGAGATGTCGAGAAAATTACGACTAAAAATTTACAGAAAAAAATTATTTACATCCAACCAACCTTAAGACTGTTGATAATTAAGATGGTTGTATTGACCGTGTACAGACTCAAAAAAGCGACTTACCGCAGAATACCCACTCCAGATAAGACTAACAACACGATCCAGTTACAAAAATAATACAAAGCGAATCGCAATTGATAGGAAATACAAAGCGATTAAACGCAAAGAAAACCTTAAGCCAAGCTTATACTCTACCAATCCGCTTTCAATAGCTTTTTTCTCTTCTTCAAAGGAGAGTTTTACGGGAAGAGATGGCTTTCAGCAAACAATCGCCGATTAAGATTCGATGCCGGCGATAGTCTCTTAGCTCCCGCGCGTTGCTGTCAAACTTAGGCCAGTTCTGGTTTGTTTATAACCTGTCGCAAAATTATTGGTCAAAATGTCAGCGCGTAAGTGAGTTTCACTGGTGCAGTTCAAAACACCTGCTAGGTGATATGAGCCAAACACATGTATTGTGTGAAACTAAAAGATGCAAATCACAAGGAAAACTTTAAAATGATCTCTTGCTCGTTAACGTAATCAAAAAGAAGACTAAAGAGTGTTGAGACTACCCGTGGTTCGCTCTCGTAGCGTTATAATCAGTTGAATATTCATGACCAATAATGCAAGAGTGCTTGACTGTGTAAATAATAGTCGGTTTATTTTTAGCAGTCTCGTTGCAAATTGACCGTGTGTAGTCTAAACAACGAATGCTATTACAAGTTTTGTCTAAATTTCACGTTGAAATAAAATTGCGAGAATTTTGCGTACTAATGATACTCAAGAAAAAACAATTACACAAATAACTAAATAAACATAAAAAATGGAAGCCGGTTTTTTAATATTTGTAAAACTTGTTAAGGTGATAAACATAAAGCACAAGATTTCGCACGTTGTGAGAAGTCGCATTCAAGTGAGGACAGTTCTGTCACGCAAATTAGAAGAAAAAAAGGTTTAACTGAGTTCTATTTCTAAAAAAATTATTAATATTAAATAGACCTAGGTGAAAAACTGTTGTCGTAGACTTCTTCGCAACACGGGGAGCACTACTAGATAAATATACTAAGCAGAAATGTTTTTTGGGACGGCAATGGCGACAAGAAAAATAATGCATCTATTTCTAATGTACCTTAACATTAACGAATCCCCTGAAATTCATACCATTTTTGTAAAACATCTGTACCTAGATTCCGTATTAATTCCTCTTTATATTTCAGAGGCACTTAACTGCCGAAAGTGAATGATGTTACATAAAAGTTAAAAGTTTCTCATGATAATTCAATGAATTTTTTAGGTGATTTCTCGTGTTCTTCAGCTTTCTAATATTCTCCAAGAGTTTATTAGAAATATTCCCTTGCTGTGTTGCTTCTTGTTTCCTTTGACAAACTTTGATTGCGATTGAAGGTACTTCCTTGAAATTTTCTTTGGTATTCACCGAGCGAAAAGAACAATTTCCTTGGTTTCTCTACAAGACTCCTTCTCCTTTCCTGTCACTAATATCAGTTGCGATGGCGAGTACTTCGTCGTAATTTTCTCTAGCCTTCGGGAATTCAACCAGTGAATGAAACAAATGGCCAAGGTTGCACTGATGTGTTCCTTCTTCCATCCTGTCAGTGCTTTCTCGTAATGTTCTTTAGAGCTTACCAAGCAAATCATGAAAATACACTGCCAAGTTCGCTCTTCCATACTCCTTCCTCGTCGCTGTCGCCAATTTCTGTTGCGATGGCAAAAGCTTCCTCGTGACGTTCTTTAACTTTTGGTATACACCAAGTGATTGACAGGGGTGATGTCAATTTCTATTGCGATGGCAATTGCTTTTTCGTGATCTACTTTAGCTTTCGTAAACTTTGCCCCGTTTACTAGGGATAGTCTTCTAGCGAACTAAACTCATTCAAACTGTTTTATTCCGCTCTCGTATTCGCTTTCTTACAATGGGTGTGTAAAAAGCTACTCTTGAAAATTTGTAAGAAATCACTGTCTTGTACTATATTCTCTACATTGTGATTGGTTGCTAACTACTGATTTGAAAAGGTCATTCAAGGTTGTGTTAATAATGTAGACCGATCAATGTCTTAAATCACTACAGGCGGTGCTTCTAGCTCTTGACATAACGTTCACACTCTTCATCTGATATGTGTCACGCACAAATAACAAAGTCTCCAACATAGCCCTCTGCTGTTCTCCAAGCGGTTATTAACACAGAACTAAGGTTGCCGTAATGTTTCCCTCCTACTTTTTGTCACCACTTTCTATTGTGATGGCAAGCCGAGTGCCTTCTCGCGATGTTCTTTAGCCTTCTTGTATTCACTGAGTGATTGAAAAACACTTCTAAGGTTCGAATTCCCGAGATATAAGCCTACTCCTTTCGCATTGAGAAGTGCTTTCTCGTAATGTTCTTTGGTCATCTGGTATTCTCCAAGAAATTGAAATACAGTTCCAAGGTAGCCGTACATTCTTCCTTCTTCTTTCCTCTCGCTACTTTTTATTGCGATGGCAAGTGCTTTCTCGTGATATTCCATATCAAAGGCGCCACGGTACATTTTCCCCTCTCCTTTCATGTCACCAATTTCTATTTTAATGGCAAGTGCTTTCCCATGATGTTCTTTGGCCTTCTGGTATTCACCAAGTGATTGAAACAAAGTTCCAAGGCTTTCGTAGCATCTTGCTCCTCTTTCCCTGTCACCAATTCCCGTTACGATGCCAAGTTCTTTCCCGTGATGTTCGTTAGCCTTCTGGTATTCCTCAAGTGATTAAAACACAGTCACTGCAAGTTCTCTGTGGCAAGTTGATTCTTGTTCCCTGTTATCAATTTCTATCAAGATGGCAAGTGCTTTATCGAGTTTAGCCTTGTTTAGCCTTTTAGGATTTTAGTATTCACTACGCTAATGAAACTCATTGCCAAGGTTGCCGTACTGTTCTCCTTCTTCTTTCTTGTCACCATTTTCTATTTTGATGCCAAGTACTTTCTCTTAATGTTCATTAACTTTCTCGTCTTCACCAAGTAACTGAAGTACACTTCGAATGAGGTTCTCGAGATATATGCCTACTTCTTTTGCAATGTCGCCAGTTTCTCTTGCGATGGCGAATGTTTTCTCGTAATTTTCTTTAACCTTCTGATATTCTCTAAGCCCTTGAATCACATATCCAAGGTGCCCTTACTTTCCTTCTTTTTATTCCCTGTTACTGCTTTGTATTGTGATGGCAAGTGCCTTCTCGTGATGTTCTTTAGCCTTCAAGTAGTCACCAAGCGCTTGAAACAGAGTTCCAAGTATTTCGTAGCAACTTCATGCTTCTTCCCTGTCACCTATTTCTGTTTCGATGGCAAGTGCTTTCTCGAGTTGTTCTTTAGCCTTCTGGTATTCACTTAACGATTTAGACTCTACAATTATTTTTTAACCGTCAACCGTCAACGGTTGACGTTTCTCCTCCAATGGAGGCGAAGCCATAATGTTGTCCTGTTGAGTGACTGAAATGTAACAATAGAATACGAACGACCTCTTAGCTTCAGTTACAACGAAGTCTGCCGAGTTTACCGGATTTTTTTCGCTCTTGGCTTTCGTTTGTTTCGGAACATTTTCGGTCGTTCAACGCTTGGTGACGATTTCTTTGAATCGCTTCCAATGTTTCTAGCAATTAGCACATGAACACACTGTTTCCCGATGCTAGTTAATGTTTGTTTAAGATTATTGGTTAAGTGTCGATCATTCACTTTATTCTTGAATCATCTTTCTTTGGTGGAACAGGGTCCTCATAAATATGGGGGATGCCAACCTCTTATTTTGGACACTAGTGGCCGGTTTTCGATTATGGACGCCACTCAGGCCGATTTTCAGATTTTAGACACTGGTAAGACCGATTTTCGACTTTGAACACAAGTGGCCGATTTCAGATTTTGGA